AGTTCAATCTTTGTTCGAGAAAAAATAATGCTATGGCACTATAGGCTACGACATCCTAGTTTTCTTTATCTGAAACATTTATTTCCAGAATTATTTAAAGGGATTGATTGTTTTTCTTTTCATTGTGAAAGTTGCATTTTTGCAAAATTTCATCGCTCTACTTATTTGCCAAAACCTTACCAGGCTTCCAAACCTTTTTATTTGATTCATAGTGATCATGTATATAATATGATAGTGGTGTTGGTGGTAGATAGTGGCATGTATAGAGTATGATAGTGGTGTTGGTTGTAGATAGTGGTATGTATAGAATATGATAGTGGTGATAGTGGTAGATAGTGGTAATATATAATATGTAAGTGGCATATAATGGGTTATGATGATGTTTGTAATATCTCCTATATAAGGAGTGTCATTTGGTCTTGTAAGATAAGAAGTTTTGAATATAACAGAAATATATTCCTTCTTCCTCATATTTTCGGAGTTCTTCTTCTTCATATTTTCTAAGTGTCTATCTGCACAGTTGACTCAGTTGATTATCGGAAGTTTCTTACCCAGGAGAGAGTTTTCAAGTTTCTGGAAGGCCTCAATGTGGAGTTTGATTTGGTCCAAAGTCGTGTCCTTGGCATGGATGTTCTTCCATCTCTTCAGGAGGCCTTTGCTTATGTCCAGAATGAAGAGAGTCGTTGGTCTGCTATGTTACCATCGCCTCCTATAGACCGTTCAACATTACTTTTTGTACCTTCTCGAGATGGAATTGGCTTGTCATTTCTTTCCTCTCATTCTTCCGGGAAGGATAATTTGTTCTGTGATTACTGTCGTCGACTGAGGCATACCTGTGAGACTTGTTGGAAACTTCATGGTACTCCATCAGGGGGTCGTGGGGATCGCTCTGGTCATAAAGGCGGTCATTCTAGTCAGTCGAGAGGACGTGGGTCTCACTCTCGTGCTCATTAGTCCAGTGTTGTAGAGACACATGATTTAGCTTCGGTTATGCAGACTTCTGATCTGGTCTCTGGTATGTCATCTTCTGAGCTTGAGGATGCTCTATGCAATCTGTTTGATCACCGGTCTTCTGTTCCTCCAGATGCATCTTCTGCCTCTTATTCGTTTGCTTGTTCAGGTAACTTAGCCACATCTTCTAGTGCTTTTCTATCCCAATAAGGCTTTGCCATGGATTATTGATTCGGGTGCCTCAGATCATATGTTTGGGTTTTCTGATCTCTTTTTAGACTATACACCAGCCTCTGGTCAGGATAAAGTTAGGATAGCTGATGGTACTATTTCTTCTGTCTCCGGGAAAGGCTTAATCCGTGCCACTCCTCTACCTTTGTCTTCTGTTTTACATGTTCCTATTTTTCTGTTAACCTATTGTCGTTAAGTCGTCTTACTCGTGATTTGAACTGTAGCGTAACTTTTTTCCCTGATTCTTGTCTTTTTAAGGATCTTATCACGAAGAAAACGATTGGCAGTGGTAGAACAGAAAATGGCCTCTATATCCTCGATCAGACTGACCAGCTGGCTTATCATTCCATCCAAACTCCTGACACCAATGCAGATTTATAGGTGTGGCATCGGCATCTAGGACATCCATCTATTTTATTACTTAGACATTTATTTCCTTCTGTTTTTATCAAACATAAAGTCTTTGAGGTTTATTGTGAGTCCTGCCAACTTGGCAAATAACACCGAGCTTCTTTTGCTCCTAGTACTAATAAAAGTTCGGTTCTTTTTTTTCTTAATTCATTCAGATGTTTGGGGCCCAGCTCGTGTGATGTCAATGAAGGGTTATAGATGGTTTGTTAGGTTTATAGATCTCATGCTACTTGGGTGTACCTCATGAAAGACAAAAGTGAGGTTTTCTCTATGTTTCAAAACTTCCATAAGATGGTTGGTACCCAATTTGGGGCGGTTGTAAAAATATTTCATTCTGATAATGGAGGTGAGTACATTGATTCTGGGTTGGCGAAATATTTTTCCAGTCATGGTATTATCCATCAAACATCTTGCACTGACACCCCTCAATAGAATGGGGTTGCTAAGCGCAAGAATCGTCATCTTCTTGATATGGCTCGCTGTATGTGTTTTTCTATAGGCGTACCTCGGGCCTATTGGGCTGAAGCTGTTCTCACCGCTGCATACCTCATTAACCGTCTTCCTACACAAGTCTTACAAAAAGAGCCCCTCTCCAAGTTCTTTTTGGATCTGAGTCTCTATTTTCTATTTCCCCAAAAACCTTTGGCTGTATATGTTTTGTTCACAATCATTCTCTTTCTCGGGGTAAGTTGGATCCTCGTTCTCTCAAATGTGTGTTCTTGGGTTATTCTCCCACCTAAAAGGGGTACAAGTGTCATCATCCTTCCTCTCGTAAATGGTTTGTGTCCATGGATATCATCTTCTTTGAGTCTCACTTCTATTTCTTGCTTAGCCTAGTGTCCCAGTCACCTCTTCAGGAGGAGTCTTGGAGTGAAGAGATTCCTATTGCTTTTATCATCCCTGGCCCAGTACCGCCACTAGTGGTACCTATTACTAGCAATAAGAGTCCGATGTTGTCAAGAACAAAGAAGGGCAAGTCTATGTTTGGGATTAAGAAAGGCAACAAATTACTTGGATACAAGAGACCACTTCTGATCAAAATTGCCATCTCCTTTTTCTGATGAAGGTCCAAGTAACCCTGAAACTCCTTATATTACTACCTCTGAATCTGAGTCTACTGATCTAGATATATCCATTGCAAAGAGAAAGGATGTGAGATCTTGTACTCATCATCCTATTTCAAACTTTGTGTCTTATTCTTATTTGTCCCTTTCATATAAAGCCTTTGTGTCAAAACTTTCCTCTGTTAGTATACCTAATCATTTTCAGGATGCTCTTACTATTCCTGAGTGGAAACTGGCCATGGTGGAGGAAATGAAAGCACTTCATAAGAATGACATTTGGGATTTTATTGAGTTACCTAGGGACTAACGACTTGTGGGGTGCAAATGGGTGTATACTATGAAGCACAAGGCAGATGGTTCAATTGAGCGGTATAAGGCTCGACTTGTGGCAAAGGATTTCATTCAGACCTATGGGGTGGATTACCAAGAGACATTTGCTCCAGTTGCAAAGATGAATTCAATCAAAGTACTTCTTTATCTAGCAGCTAATTTGGATTGGCTATTTTGTCAGTTTGATGTGAAGAATACTTTCCTGCATGGTGACCTAGAAGAGGAGTTATATATGGACATTCCTCCTGGCTTTGAAACTCTTCAAACCAAAGGTAAGGCGTGTCGACTTCAGAAGTCATTATATGGCTTCAAACAATCCCCAAGGGCTTGGCTTGAGAGGTTCACTCAGGCAATGCTAAAATACGGCTTCAAACAGAGTCAGGCTGATCATACTCTGTTTGTTAAACATTCCTTTCATGGCAAGACTATAGCTCTCATTGTATATGTGGATGACATAGTACTTATAGGAGATGATGTAGAAGAAATCCCTTTGTTGAAAAAGTATTTGGTTAGTGAGTTTGAAATCAAAGACTTGGAGAACCTAAAGTACTTTTTGGGGATTGACGTGGCTAGGTCCAAAGATGGGATTTTCATCTGTTAGAGAAAATATATCCTTGACCTGTTGAAGGAAACAGGGATGGTTGGAAGTAAAGCCTGTGACACATTACTGGAACCTAATCAGAAACTTTGTGATGATAGTGGGGGAGCAGCCGTTGATAGGAGGAGTTATCAAAGACTAGTGGGTAAGCTCATTTTCTTATCCCATTCTTGTTTTGATATTGCTATTGCCGTTAGTGTGGTTAGTCAGTTTATGCATGTTTCTCATGAAATACACTTGGCGGCAATTATGAGAATTTTGAGATACTTGAAATCTTCTCCTGGAAAAGGTCTTTATTTTTCCAAACATGATCATCTTAGTGTGAAAACTTATATAGATGCTGATTGGGCAGGATCAATAACTGATAAGAGATCCACTTCAAGGTATTATAACTTTGTTAGAGGCAATTTGGTTACTTGGAGAGGTAAGAAATAGAATGTGGTTACTAGGTCTAGTTCAGAAGATGAGTTTAGAGCTATGGCACAAGGTGTGTGTGTGAGCTCTTGTGGATCAAGTTGTTGCATGATTTGAGAATTGACCAAAAAGACTCCATGCGGCTATATTGTGATAATAAGGTTGCCATCAATATAGCTCACAATCCAGTTCAACATGACAGGACAAAGTATGTTGAGATTGATCGTCACTTCATCAAAGAAAAGCTCACTAGTGGCACAATATGTACTCCATTTGTGAAGTCTGGTGAACAACTTGCAGTTTTTCTCACCAAGGGAGTAGGGAGTAAACCATTTCATGATATTCTTGGCAAGCTGGGCATGAGAGATATCTTTGCATGAGCTTGAGGGGGAGTGTTAGAATAACTGCTAAAATCATTCCATTCTTTTGTTTCCTTATTTAGATTATATTGTGATTCCTTAATTAGGGCCTTAGGGCTTCCTTTGTAACAGTTTTTGGTTGACTAATATAAAAGGGAGTGATATCATGATCATATCCTAAGTCAATTTTCTCTCAAACAGACAGTAGTGAAGAGGTGCGATACAATGATGGTAGTGTTAGGGGAAGGGGTAGACCTAGATTGTCGTGGACCAGTGTAATAAATAGATATATGAATCTCCTTAATTTGACTAACAAAATGATCTTAGATAGAATCGAGTGGAGAATAAGGATTCATGCAGTCAACCCCATTTGAAGGGACTTAATGCTTGGTTTGGTTTGGTTTGATTTAATATAATATATAAACAATTTACTTTGGTTTCCAAGTTTGAATCAAATAGTTCATTATATTTCTGGATTTGTTATTAATTCAATTTTGAACTTCGCCACAGGATAATATGGAGTACGGGTTCACGAGTGTATAAGAGGTTCACCTTGCCCTCCTCAGTGATTATGGTACTTCTACTTTGCAGTAACTAAAGTTTCTTACCTCTTTTCCTTTCATAATAAAACTTGGTAGATGATAGCATACACCGACAGTTTTGCTTCTTTATAGATTTTTTTAATCTCATATAAAAGTTTTGGGTGCATTACAGAACTGTGACAGTGTAATTATTAGCTGTCTGGGTTAATCTTTTCCCTTTCTAACATCTACATCTCTTTGTACTTTACGTCAAGTGTGTGGAGTCATTTTTCCAGTCCTTTCCTCTTCTTGTTCAGTTAAGCTTCCAAATTAACAGGAAAAAAAGTTGTAATACCGAATGGAGTGACTGTTATGTTATTGCTACAAACAAAATTGTTTTTGGGAGTATGGTTATTCCAGTTTTGCAGTCACCAAACGGTTTGGTTTTTGTATGGAAGAGTGATATGTCTGATTACTTTTGTGGGTTTATCTCTTACTTCACGATCTTATGGGTGATTTAATTCCATCTAGTCAAGTCTGTGGCTGGGTTGCAGCAGTGCTTGTCTTTCAAAGATACAGAGGTCTGTGGCTTGAATTGGATGTATTTGTCATAGAATGTAATTATACAGTTTGTCTCTGTTAAAAAACTTGATTAATTATCCTCATCAATATGTCTATCTTATATATTATACTTTCTTTTAAATCATTGTTTGATTTTACCAAGTTCAATCATTTTCACAAATATTTTAATTCAAATTATAGGCATGCTGGTGTCATATGGGTGATATGTCTGAGGCATCACTTTGTGTTCTACAAAGTGATAGTTTGACAATCTATAAGACAACAGGTGAGTAGTTTGAAGAGGGCGGTTTTGATTACAAGAAAGCAATTGTTGATTCAATTGTTATCCTTATAAGAGACATCCCAGATGCCAAAGAAAATGGGCTACTTCACCTTTGTGAATTTTGCGATATCTCATAATTCACTATGTTTTCTTTATTCTGAGAAGAGGAATGGTTAACCATTTGTTTGCAGGTTCGTGATAGAAGAAGGCCCAACTGCTCCTGGTAAAAAGCCCCTGGTAAAAAGGCCCCTGGTAAAAAGCCAACTGGTTTAGGTGCTGCTCCAACTGCTCCCACGTCCACTGTTGATGCTTATGAAAAGCTTCTTTCCTCTATCCCAGAGTTCTCGAGCTTTGGGAAGCTTTTCAAGGTTTTTTACCAGACACTCCTTCCATTATATATACTGATTTTGACTATTGTTGATAATCTGCTGATTCAGGTTTTTTTTTCATATAAATTTTTGTTTCCTGTACCAGTCTTCGGCACCTGTGGAGCTTACAGAGGCTGAAACAGAATATGCAGTTAATGCTGTTCAGCACATTTTTGATAGGCATGTGGTGTTCCAGTACAACTGCACAAATTCAATTCCCGAGCAATTACTGGAAAATGTAATGACCATCTTAAAAAAAGTAGTAGTTCCTTTATTCTGAAATTATTTTGGGATAATCTCTCAATTTTTTTGTGCTTACTGCCAGGTCACCGTTGTTGTGGATGCTTCTGACACCGAGAAATTTACTGAAGTGTCAACAAGGCCTCTAAGATCTCTTCCATATGATTCACCAGGACAAACATTTGTGGTATTTGAGAAACCAGAAGACATTCTTCACTTCAAACAACTCCTCAATGAAAATCCAAGCCTACTTCTAAAACTAACACCTCATGAAAACACACCACTTCATATCGCCACACAGTTTGGACACAAAAACATTGTTGCTGAGATTTACAATCGGCAGCAGTTCCTCCTTGCTCAGCCGAACTTGGACGGAGACACACCTCTACATGTCGCTGCGAGAGCTGGCCGCATCTCCATTTACCCTTTGGTGATATGCTCTCCTGTAAGTACTTTTCATGATGTCAGTATCAACATAAGGTTTGGATGGGTTACATGGGTTTCCATTTTTGTAGCTCTGTAGGATACATATGTGCAGAGTGGGTGCAAGTGCCAAAGTGAGAGTGACAATATGAAAAATCTCATGTAGTCCAGGCATATCTGAAGAGTTGATGCATGTGTACTTTTGGACATTGGAAGAGGTTGATTAAAAACTGTCACAAAGCCTTACAAAACAATATGATGATTGATCAGTAGTTCTTTCTCAAGAAAAGTGACCCAGTGCCAATCCTCACTCCAGCAAAACAATTAATCTTTTGGGCAACAAATGGTATGGTGCTAAAACAATGAAAATTTTTATCCATAAGCACTAAAAGATAGTGTAGGTGGGACAACAGGGATTTAAAAAATAAGCATGATGCAAAATATGCACAAGGAGTGGGCTTGTGGCTGAAAAAGTCAAGTTTGTGATTGATGTGGTTAAATTCACAATTTTTGACCTAGTCAAATTGAGAAGTGACACAATTTCTGCCTTGCATCCACGAACTCACGAACTAGAGGGCAGCGTTGTGACTGTCCACTTTTAGGTCACACAACCTCAAGTGCTAGGTAGTTCAAGCATCATTAGTCATCCAGGTTTGAATATTACAACCTTTGTACTTTATTCAAAATATGGAACGGCCAATGTACTTTGTAGAAAAGAGTTCAAATATTTGTGTTCTCAGTTTGCACTATCAGTGTCTCTTATTGTATGTCCCCAGCCTTCCCCTTTCCTGTTCAGCTGGAAACCAAATGCCGACACCCTTAGCCAGATTCAAGATGATTGATTTTCGTGAAAGTAAATTTAACTTTATTTTTTCTTTATCATTTTGTTCTCATTTTTTTTTTTAATATTTATGTTAATGCTAATTTGTTGATTGGAAATATCATGCTACTATGTACAGGTGAAGAAGTATCAATTCTTCTTCCCCGTATTGTCACATCAATATGGCCTCTTCCATTTGGTTTACTCCTCCAACAGGCAACTGAGGGGAGTTTACCAACATATGCTCCTTTTCCATTGTCAAGCCCGCCATCAAGTGCTCGTGATATATTATTCCGTCCAAAAGGAGACATTGGAGACAGTGCTCAACATAATTATACTTCACCGTGCATATTTGATTGTATTATTAAGGGAGATGAAGCTTCAGTCTCCTCGCATCTGATTTTGAAGGATCTGCTGGAAGAGCCTCAGGTATGCATAATACTTCCTTTTGGTTTTGTATTTATCTTCATGTTTATTCATGGCTGCTTATTTTCTTGTTTCTGAGCTCATATGGCTTCTCATTCCATGATTTTCTCAGGTAACTCATATTGAGGAAAGGGGAAAGGTGAGCATAATGAGGGAATTTGACGAAAGAACGATTTGGACTAGTGATCGTATTCCTCTGATGGCATCATTTAATAAAGGTTTCTTCTATTTATTTGCTTTTGACTAATGTAAGCTCCTCCCCCCTCTAACCCAAGGAAAGAATCAAATTCATTATATAATTTTATTGGCAGGGAAAATGCAACACTCTCTGTGGGTTGTGGAAGTTGTTAACTCTAACCTTGAAATGGGAAATTCTAAATCATCCGATGTAGTTCCTTCTGGGGTGTTACCAAAACAGTTCTCCTTCAGAAGGATATGGCAGGGCAAGGGTTCCCAGACAGCTGCTAGTGAGGTGCTCGACTTATTATCCTTTTCTTTAATGTCTGTCTTTTTGATGAACTTTGGGTTTGGAATGTCAAGATCTCCATCATTCAGAAATCTTTTCATCTTATCTTTCATGTTCTGTTGTTTTTCATGGTGCAATTTTTTCAAGGAATATATATTAATGAATATGCAATTTTAAATGATGTGGGGACTAATGCCCCTATAGCAAATTTGTATTACATCTCAATTCACTTTTCCAAGGTTTTAAGTTCTGGGCAAATGTGTTGAATTTAAGCTATTTTTTAGTTAAATTGTGCTGTGCTACTCATTGAAAATGCTACAATGACTTGATGGAGTATAGGAATGTGGGTTAGAGGTGGTGGTAAAAATCATGATGCCCTGCATGTGATGGAGCATAAAACGTGGCACTAGCTGGAACTGAAAACTGAAATAGGATTCCTGCATTCAGCACCCAAGTGATAAAGAACATTGAAACTAGAAAAAAGTAAAATTTAAGAATTTAGGAGAAAGGTTTTGTTTGTCCTTTTTTTTAAATATATATATATATATATATATGTGTAATTTCTACTCTCTTGTTTCCAAATACTATATTTTGATCACCAAACCAACTTTCTTAAATTATAATAAAACTCTAAACGTGTCTTATTATTGTGTGTCCGAACACAAGACACACATGTCCTTGATGTGTCTGACATTTGCTTGATCTGATTTCTGTTGTACTATTTTCTGTTGAACCTTTGTCATTCCAATATTTGGTCTCATTATTCATTTTCATTCTCTTTTGACTCCTGCCCTCAAATGATGTTATCAGGTATTTTTGGCAACTGATGATGATGCTACACCTATTATTTGTTTACTTCTCCAAGAACAAAAAGAGTTGTTGTCAGTGAGGCTGCAGAGTGTAGAGATAAATAGTGAGATTCTCTATGACATAAAACCTGACATGAGTTGGAGTGTACCAGCAGTTGCTGCAGCACCTGTTATTGTAACTTGTCCGAGGTAGAGTAACTTTGTTTCTTTGTTCTTGTGTTTGCTAGTTGCTCAGTGATCTTTTGAACATGACTCCTTTACTTTTTCTTATTCAGAGTGAAAGTGGGACTGCTGCCATGCGTAGACATCATGGCTTTGACATCAGAAAATGCCCTTCTTCTTTATGTAAGTTGTTTGATTCTTTAATCAACATTATTAGGCTGTCTCCACTTATAAGTTGTTAGAATAGGAATTATGTTAGAATAGGAATTAAGTAAGAATCGGAAATACGTGATTGTGTGATTGTGTTTCCTTATACTATACTCAGTATTATCAATATAAAAGGGAATGAAGTCTAACTCATTCCCTAACCTTTTGTCTTCTCTAAACGTTCATGGTATCAGAGCCTCAACCCTAGCCTATCCCTCCTTACCTCTACCGGCAGCCTTGTCTTGAGTCCAGGAGACCCGACATCCACTGTAGACCCTCAGATAGCCACCGTCGATCCTTCGACAGTCCAAACCACACCTTTGTCAGCCTTGCCCAGGCCGTCGGCAGCTTCTCTGAGTCCCTAAGGGCCTATCGGTAGTCCCTTTGACTATCTAGGGGCCTGTCGACAGTCCCCTTGGCCTTCGTGGCCCTTGTCGACAGCGTCTCTGGTATGCGTGACTCCGGTCAGCATCTCTGAGTGTCGGTTTGCCTCCTGCCTTAGTCTTCATCTGTCTTGGTTGGATAGTCAACACCCTTTTACTTCTCTTTTAAAACACAACCAGGAAAAAAATAAAATAAAATTGGCTTCTTAAATTCTTTATGCTTTTCTTATCATGGTTCCTCCACTCTCATCTTTCGGGTTTGTGATTGACTTTGTGATTGAGGACTAGTGAGTAGAGTCTCCATGGCAGATTTGACTAGTGAGTCTACTACCTCTCAACCATCTCAGGGCGTGAGTTCGGTTATCCCTTCTCCTATGACTGATAACCTCAATCCTGGCCTTAAAATTACCACCTCTCTATTTAATGGTTGAAATTTCCTCGCGTGGTCGTAGAATCTGACTATTTTTTTGAAAAGCAGAGGGAAGATGGGATATGTGGATGGGAGGGTTCATGCACCCAATATTACTGACCCTCATTATGGCTAGTGGGAGATCACTAATTCTCTAATTATGGGTTGGTTGATCCATTCTATGGTTTTGGAGATTGTAGAGGGTTACTTGTCTATGGACACTGCCTAGGATATTTGGGAGGCCGTAGCTACTACTTATTCCAGGAAAGGGAACTTCTTACAGGCTTTCGAGTTATGTCACTCCATTAAGCGGTCGGTGCAAGGTGAGATGATTATCCTCAAGTATTTTACCTTCCTTAGCAATGGATGGAATCGTCTTGATCACCTTTAGGATTACAAGCTTGGATGTCCCACCGATTCTGCTGGTTACCGGACATTTGTAGCGCACGAGCGGGTCTTCATGTTCTTGGAAGGCCTGAATGTAGAGTATGATCCTGTTCGAAGCCGAGTCCTTAGCATGGATGTGCTTCCTTCTCTTCAGGAAGCCTTTGCTTTTGTGTAAAATGAGGAAAGTCGCCACTCTGCTATGCTTTCTCTTGTCACTAGTGATCGCTCCGCCTTGGTTTCTGCCCCTCCTCGAGATGGAATGGCTTGTGGTTCTCGTCCCTCCTCTGAGATGGATCAGCTTTACTGTAACTACAGCCGTAGACCTCGCCACACCAGAGAAACTTGTTGGAAGCTGCATGGCACCCCTTCTGGTGGCTGAGGAGACCGTCCTGGTACTCGCGGGGGTCGGTCTGGTCAGTCGAGAGGCCGAGGGGCCAATACACGGGCGCATCTTTCCGACACGGTTGAGCCACCACCTTCATCTCTAGTTGTCTCACTAGCTGCTGATGTTTCGGGATTGCCTGCCTTGGATTTTGAGATTGCTCTTCGCCCCTTGTTAGACCGTCGAGCCTCTTTTTTTGCTATAGGTGCACCTTTTTCTTCCTTTGCCAATTCAGGTAACTTGGCTTCTGTGACGCCCCAAATTTTTTTTTGGACATCATAATAAGATTTAGAACTTAAAATCAATGTTGCCACCAAACATCACTAATATCCATTAATTAACAACCCAAAATTTAAAGTTTTCAAATTATAATTCTAATAAAACTTAAAATTTAGTCTCGGTACACAAAAAGAAAATAGAACAATTACGAAAGAAAAACTAGAGAAAACTAGGAAATATAAGAAATGGTTCGTGGAATTTGGGGACTCTTCAAGCTAACTAAGGCTGAATGTCACCTTGCAAGGCCTCGGTGTTTCTTTCGTTTTCTTCAGTACCTGGCATAAAACGCCAGGGCAACGAGAATGCCAATGAGTGACGAGCTCAGTAATAGACTACAACCCGAAAATACCCACCTCGATAATAATATTTACAATTAATGAATAATGCGTAGTAACAGAATAACATGTAGCATTTAATAAGCATGACAAGAATGCCAACAATTAAAATAATAACAATAGATAAATAAATAAGTAAATAAAATGGCGAACGGAAATAGTGATTCATCATAAGGAAAATGCACGCGTTTCTTTTTAAATTCCCATAGATTTAGTTTATCAGATAAATTTAAGTAACTTCCCGCGTAGCACTATTTCCACTCAACCGCTGAGCAATGGCCACGGGCAATTCTGACTCTCCCTTGGTCAAATATTCAATGTTACTTGCTATAACTACCAATGATGCCCGCGCACTAGGGTTACGTACTCGAGTCGTGACATCATGGTCTGCCCCAAGGGAACGGTCTATGTTGTGACACCCGCACCACCAACCTTATATCGCCTACACCGATAAGAGCCGAAATACCTTCCCGTGCCATGTTAGGGTTCGCAACTCATTGCGCAAGATTCTAAACCGAGCTCGCCCTGTCACTTTTAAATTTTTAATGTATCATCAGTTTAATTTCGTATTTCTTTACGTCGTTGAATTCACATTTTTATGCATGTGTGAGTTTTAGTTCGAGAATCACAGTGATATAATGTTTATATAGCACAACACAATCATATATGGCAACCAAAATAAATGTGATAGAGTGTCTTAGGAGTCAGCACAAGATTTCTTAAGAATTCACATACATTTCCTTTCAGCACTGTATGGTCAAACAAAAAAAATATGAAATCCATACCAAACGATGTTCAACCATTATAATATTTTAACTGGTGTTAGTTCATCGAGTTAGGAAAATATTTCGAGAAGAATACTAGGGCTAAAAACGATTTTAAAATGGAGGAATAATTTTTGGAAGAAAACTGGTTTGCTGGGACAGTGAGTTACATTCACCTCCAGCACAGGTGATCCGGGTTTGAAAAATAAAAAGGGGCCTCAAACGGTGTTAAAAATAGGCATGGTCAGAACAGTTTGCTAAATTTTTGAGTTTAGAACATATTTCCATAAGAGTGCGAAGGCTGAAAACCAGCCGAAGATGGTCAAATGATTTTTATAAGAAAACTGGACAGATTCTGTCACCTTTTGGAAAAATTGGTGTTTCTCTCTCAATACTTAGAAAAAAATTATGAAATCAGCGGCGTTTGAAAGGTAACTTAAAAATCTAACTTTTCCAATTTGAATCACTTGAAAATTCATTTTGTGGAATAAACGGTGACCTGGTAAAGTCAGCGTTGCTGCTGCCTCCAAACAGCAATGAGGTTAAAAATATATTCAGGCCATGAAAACGTTGTCAAATAATTTTTTTCAATATTCTAGTGTCATGAAAACATGCTAAACTAACTCTAGTAGTTTCGAATTTTATGAAAGTGTTCTCATGAGTTTGTTTAGGGTTTATTCAAAACGGATTAAAACCTGTTTTTGCTGGAAGTTTATTAGTTTTGCAAAAAACACACTTTGTGTCCACCATGAATCACATGCAAGACAAAAAAAATGTTTCTTATTATTATTCCCGTGTGAAACTCTAATCCTTCATATTTACTTTCATTAGTGATTACAAAAATTAATATTGATGAAGAGTAAACATAAATTCATAAACATGCGAGATTGATTCAACAATGGAGAATACTAGATCACATAAAGAGCAAGATCATTAGCTAAACCACTTAACCCATATTTGTAAAAAGGACAGAAATCACATAATCATGAGATTATCCTTCTAGCCACATGTAACATGCATTGAGCATTTGTGTATTATCAATATGCACTCTTGCATATTTCTAATGTGTAGGTTTAAGAAAACATCTAAGGAAGGGTAGGGTTGAGTATTTCTTTACCTCAATAAAGTAAAAAAATTCTCAAGTATTGAGCCCTTTTACTCCTCTCTTCTCTCCTTCCTCTCTTGCTTTCTCTCCCTCTCTCCCTCTTGTTTGCTTAGTTACGTATGTGTGTGCAAGGGACTGCTGAAGAATGCTCCTAAATGTAGGAGTTTGAGGCCAAATTTATTATTATTATTACTATTATTATTATTATCACTTTAGTTTTACTTTATTTCTCTTTTGGGCTTAGGAAATACCACCTAATAGGGTAGCTTACAGCTGCTGCATATCGTGGCTGCTTTGGCAAGGTCTTGCAATTGGCCATCTATGCATGTGAGCATAGAGTGGCAGCAAGCAAAGGCGTGCTTGGCATGCTTGGGTTGACTTTCTCTTCCCAAAATAAATTTTGATTTGATTTGATTTGATTTTTTTTTTTTTAAATCAATTGAATAAATATATATAACCTAGTCCCTAGATATTTTGCTCCCCACTATCTTCTGATTAATTCAGTTACTATTTATTTAACTCATTTAGTTTCCACAACTGTATTTTGATATAGAAATTTAATCACAGCAAGACAAAAAAATTTATTTAAAAGAATTTAATATTGGTATTAATTATGGTGCTATTAATATTGTAACATTATAATTTAATAGCTTAATAATCACTATTAATTAACTAATTAGTTGTCTAAAAATTCAGGTTCTTACAGCTTCATTCCCATGTGCATTGCTATCTCATACGTCTGTACCATGGATTATTGATTCTGGTGCTTCCGACCATATGCCTGGCTCCTTTAATTTATTTTCAGAGTATAACTCCACCTCAAGTCAGGAAAAAGTGCGTATTGTTGATGGTACCATTTCGTCTGTGTCAGGAAAAGGTTTAATTCATGCCATATCTTCCCTTTCTTTGTCTTCTGTCCTCTATGTTCTCAA